CCCTTGCTGACAACTTGACAGGTGACTCGCACCCTGTGCTCGGCCAAATTTACCGCATCCAAGGTCTTGCAAAGTACAATCCTAATTAACGCCACTTCAATTCTAAAACTAGAGAGGTGGAGATGTGATGTGAAGGGTTAAGGCCTGAGAAGAGGACAGGTGGGTGGAGGGTGATTGTCGCGTGAACGAATTGCGATGGTGAACTTTTGCGGTGAGAATCACCACACCGCATAAGTATCCACTGCCGACACCCTTCTTGACAGTCGAAAGGAGAAGACGAACACTTCATTCCAAATGGTTTACTGCGGTGGATACTGGAATGGGTGCGTTTTTTCAACCTCCTTCCATCTTTTCTGCCTTAAGTATGCATTATGCAGAGGCGACAACGTGAGTGACTGGGTCATTTGACGCGGTGACTTCTGCCCTCCACTCCACCAACTTTGCAAGCCATAAGAGGCAATAAAACTTAGTTTTATTAACAAAGGCTGACAATATCATCACTTTTCTTTTCCCAAATTGATGAAAGGAAATGCTACTGCTTCCTGTGTTGCAGGAAACAAAATTAATGCAAGGATGAATGACAACAGATTTCTCTTGCCTCTTCCGGTTGGCTGCAACAAAGTAGACAGGTTTAGTTCAAAATTTTTTTTGGCAAAAACAGAAACTAATGATCTCTTCAACGGCAAATTTGGGTTGCAGCATCAAATATATGAAGCTATTTGAAATAGGCAACAGTTTTTTGCCTTCTTCAGCTGTCCCTCCATCTGCTGTGGGTCCTGGTTTGGTGCCTTCGACCACAACTGGTGCGGATGTGGAGACGGCGGCGGCTTCAATCACGATTGGTGCGGCGGCTGCTGTGGTGGTGGTGGATGTCATGGCGGTTTCCATGGCGGTGCATTTGGCGCTCACCATGGCTTTGGACCGCGTTACTTCTAAATCGTGACCAACACACTTATTCTAATTGCTATTTACAATATAACGCAATCGGGATTACGTGTTTGTCCCCTATTTTGTTGGAGGAGGGTTTGCCAGACCTCACGACACGTTCGCTCAGCCGATTTAGCATTACTCTCAGGTGCCTTTCTTAAGCACTGAGGTGCCAACTTTGGTGGAAGGCGTTTCACTTTTCTAGCGCGTTGTTGATACTTCTGAAGTCGAAAAATCTGATGCAGAACTTTATGATTTATGGCAGTTTTTAAGACCCAATGCCATTGACAGCTGACATCCAATCCACACTTCTCAAATGACAACTCAAATCCCTCTTAAACATACCTAATTAAATTTCCTAACCACCTAACTAACTGCTGTAAATTACAGTGAAACAGTAAAATTGAAGCAAAGTGGAAGGAAGGACAGTGCACTCCACGGAGGGAGGTTTGAACTTCCCAAATTTGGCTGAAAATTTTGATAAAAAGTGAATGACATTTCCATAGCGTTGCATATTTTATTCATTACTATAACGTAAGGGGATAATTTCCGTGATATCGCCGCTCTACTGTATTTGCATTGTCCATGGATCCACTTCGTTGCTCTCCAGTCTCGTTCCCACCTCCGACTTGGTCGACTTCCGTGTTGCCTCTGTGGATTCACTTCTCCTCCTCCTCCTCCGTCTCCGCCACCACCGCCCCTTATGCCTCCATCTCATGTGCCATGAGAGTTCCACCGCAGCCACCAGCAGAGCCAGTAGGAGTCCACCCACGAGGATATGAAACACACCTGCAACGTTTATCAGGGCTAAGGCATTTGCCGCTGATCGATCAGCATCCGCGGCAGCGGAGCACTGACCCCGCTCGATCCACCACTTCTTGCGAAGGTTAGTGAGCACTTGACTTTCGCGCAGACGCAGGACAGCATCGCTTAGGGCTTCACGCATCGGCGACCTGCGAGGCAGAGCGATGCCGTATCCGTAATTGCCAAAGGCACTGCCCACCATCATTGTGTCACAGGGCTCCCGATTGTTGACATACTCGTTCATCACGGACTCCAGGACAAATGCGTACTTGCCCTACACATCGAAACAATATAATCCTGCCACAATAATTACTTTTACATTTCCCCTCAAGAGTCCTTCAGTCAAAGACCAATAGCAAAGGGGTGGAGCTTGAGCAAAATCCTACTTACTCTCTAGCTTTACTTGATGACTTGTCACTTTTGATGGTTTATCCCCGTCACTCATCATAGACTGGTCTCGGTATTGCCGCTACCAGTAAAGTGGGGAAAATTAAACAGAAAAATGATGGAAAAATCCTGTTAGTTCTTCACTCCTATTGAACATTTTTGTTCTTCGTATCCATTCTTCTACAGTTCATATGCATACTTTTATGAAAATTTCTCTTTTTAACTGTACGATTAATTGTTTTACATGCTAACAACCAAAACCAATCTACTTAGGACTAAATAGTAGTATAGTTCTTTATATTTTAATTTTCCTGACAATCTATGGTTTTAATAGATGTTTTGCGCCCTTAAACAGTGGAATATGGCGCTCATTTAGCCTGACAGGCGCGTGGTTTTGGAGACCTGAGGGCCTTCTTCGGTCGCAACTAATGCGATTAAACAGTCTCAGGGTCTTGCAAGTTTCCAGCATTAGGTAACTGTAGTGTGCTAGTTTTAGTGTGACTAAAATTGTCTCCAATTTGTCAGATGTGGGAGTGTCAGGTGTTAATCCTCCTCAAAAAGACTTCCTTCTGCATCTTTAAAGACCCAGAAACGAATTTCTTATAAAGGATCTAAAAAAACTAAGTTTCATTGTCCATTTTCATTCGACTTTCTTATTTGCCTCCAATGGACATTAAATGCATCCTCCAAAAGTATCCTTTTTCATTACATAAGCACTTGTGTTTCACATTTTAATTCACCTCATCTACTTATAAATGCCATTAGTAGCATAGTGTATTCAAACTCTGGTGGCATTGTTGTGCACTTAAACCATGGTGAGTTTTACATTTGCTTCATCAATCATCTTCATAAACTTTGTGGCTTGGATAGCGTCTCCAGAAGGAGGAGTGGTTCTAGGCAGTTAAAAGTTCATGCATATTTTTAGCGCTTCTTCGATGAGCGAGTTCACTTTCAGCATTCCTATTGTTTTTTTTGCGCTATTTTTTTTACTAAACTTGGTTACTAAGTTGCTGTTTAAACACTCTGACATTGTGTCAGCACCCTCGTTTAACCTCAACGTCAAGCCCAGTTACCACTCACCTTGGATGAGCGAACCCTCTCCACTCCCTCCTCCAAATTACTGGCAAGGGCGTGGGTGTTTCTTTTCATCCAGGCCCCGAGTTGAGCAAACGGTTCCAATTTTGTGTTAAAAAAGAAATCCCTGGTGGAGCCCGACTTCAATGATCCATACTCCATGTCAGATTTGAGCAAATCACTCCAACCATTGATTGGTGGTACACGAAGCGAGATGGTCAGGAAGGCAGCCAAATTGGCTGTGTAAAAGGCAATGAGAATGAGGGTAACAAACCACCACACCGCAATCAGTAGTCGGGTACCGGGTGCTCGTGGAGCAAAATCCACACCCTGGAGGATAAAAGAAAGGTACTAGGAGAGGTAACGAAAATGGTTATGCTTAGATTGTCAAGCATTGATTCCAAA